GTGCAAATTACTGACCTCTGTCATCATTTTAAGTGGGGGAACTTGCACAATCGGTGGCTGACTAAATACTTTTTTGCCCCACTGTATAGCAGAACAAGCTCTGAAATAACTTTCTCCTTCTCTGCATGTTTACCATTAGGGGTACTCTGGTCTTGTGGTTTGAAAACCTAAGATGAAAAATATGCACTTTTTAAAGCTTTCACCAACTTCGTATCGCATTTAGATAGTTCATCAATACTTAAAAAATAATAATTTTTTTTTAAAAGAACATACAATCACACAATGAAAATAATCCACCCATGGATGTTACAGAATTATGATCATTATAGAGAAAAAAAATAGAGCACTCAGCCTGGGCCACTCACAGGCCTCTGGCATGGTGGAGGGGCAAAAAAGTACACACCAATGTGTCTGCCTGGTTGAACTCAGCCTGACATGGCTGTATGGTAGATGAAGGTCCTGGAGCATGTCTGAAACAGAATAAGAGTATTGGAATTAAAATGTCCAGATAAGAAGCTCATACAGTTTAATATTTTTTATGATAGCAACATTATAAAAATGCTATGAAACCAATAAATATTTATATTAGGGCGGGGGAATAAAATAACCACAATATGTATTGCAGTATACTTTTTTCTCAATGGAAATATGAGACTATTGCAATAGAGCTATCCATCCATCCATCCATTTTATATGCTGCTTATTCCTCTAATCCCTCTTTTTTTCATTGACGTAAGAATAGTCAATCCTTATCAGGTAGCGCAGTGACCAATCGCTCTGGGAACAGTGTCATGTCCAGTTAGGGTGACTTGTTACCTGCAGCACAGTGAAGTAGCAGCGCCACACGTGGAGATGTTTGGGCACCATTTGCATCTAAACCAACCATTAACATAAATATACAAGGAGAGATTAGGAGAATTTGCTTTTATTTCTTAGCTTATTCATATGATATTGACAAAAAATTTTATGTCTGTTCTCCTGTAAAACTTACTGTAAACTAAGATTTATTTTTAGAATCATTCTTTTTTGCTTTTAAATGTAATTGACCAAGCAATTGAGTGATCTGGTGTTTGTTGTCTTTTGAAACTGGAAATCTTTATCCCTGACTTTTTATCTAGTTTTTAACATGTACCTTTTTTTAGTTATCTGAAACGGATGTAATATGTTAATACATCTGTCTGTCTGAACTTATGACAGGAAATAAATATTTAAATCAAAACAAGCTTCTGAGGATTTCACATCTACTTATGAGCAAAGGCACATTTAATATGTACAAATCTAGCTGTTTATATTGTGATGTATATCAATATTCCCTGAAATAAAACAAAGAAATATTGTGACATGAGAAAATATTGTATTGCCCAACTCTAATATACAGTGGGGCAAAAAAGTATTTAGTCAGCCACCGATTGTGCAAGTTCCCCCAC